AAAAAGTAAAAAATGAATAGGAATGGAGGCTTATATAGGGAAACATGGGTGGGAGCCCAAAGGTTGCATCCTGAATCGTTCGATCATGCCACGTGTCCTGCATCCCACGGTCAAAAAATTACACCGCCTTACCACTAGGGCTGGCGTCATTACCACATCTGACGTCAGCCCTCAGGAGGCCTTCCTCAGTATTTAATCAACAGAGGCTCTATACCGAGGACTGTAACTAGGACCTTTTTGCACCTATCCTCGTGCATATTATCGAGCACAGGTGCACGGGGGCCAATGATATAACCGAGTTTTGTTCCCCGACGAATATAGACCGAGGACTCAATTTCGTCGGTATGTGTATCGAAATGCTCGGGACATATGTGCTCGGGTATCATGTATGCCCGGGATATTAGCCCGAAGATTTATTACACAATCATTCGACACGTCCTCAGGAATATCCTCGGGGTTATGACCTACGACAGCGCCTTGTCCAACGAGAGATTTATTCTGACTAAATATTCTTAATTTATGTCTCCTATGCCCAGAAGAACTCTATTGGTATCACAATTATACCACAATTCAAACTCCTATCTCGCGTAGGACTCATTGGTATAAAATTGCAAAATCAAGCTATCCTACTACAGGTGCAATGCGGAATCCTGATATGAACACACTACCTACCCCTATAAATATAGAACCTTGAACCATTATTCAGGTACGTTTTACATTGTTCTTCAGCACATAGCCTCACGCATATATTTTCCTTTCTGACTTAAGCATCGGAGGGGCGACGAGAATACACCTCGTTGCCTTTGTTTCAGGTATCGGAAGATCACGTTCGTGCTCATAATCAGTCATCAAGCTCGGGAAATCTACAGGTACGATTTTTGGTAGTATCATAATCCATTTCCACAAACATTGAACTTAATTTTCTCAAACTAACTTTAATGGAAATATATTATCATTAACTCAAAATGTTTTCCTCTTTTCGCTCATTGTTTCCCGATCGATCAGCATCAACACCTCACCTTCTAACTATGATTAAACACTCACAAGCCCCTTCTCTGGCTGAATAACCACTTCCATGAGCTCTACCACTAGTAAGAAGAGCTCCCAGACTCAATTCTCCCACCAGCATGTGAACAAATTCTTCTCCCCCCATTTTATCGAAAACAAACCCCGACTCAATTTTCCCACGCTTTCCATACAAACCAGCAATTGACACCACCAAATTGCTATTTGCTTCCAAAGGACGAACTCAGTAATTTTTCACATGCAAATCTCAGAAAAAAAAATTCAGCAATAAAAACCAGCAAAATCAAGAACAAGATGCCCTAAAATACCCAAAAAAAAAAAGGGTTTCCAAGCAAGTTTTGATGCATATTACGTAACTGCTCGCAAGATTGTAGGACCTCGTCGGAGTGTGCCGGACGGAGGACGTCGTCGTGCGCGCTGATTGGAGAAGGTGTCGAGTGAAGTGAGAGACGAGAGAGGAATCGTGAGAAAAGGGCCAAGTTTCTGTTGTTTTAATTAGAATTTTTACTGTGGCGGTTTTCAGCGCCTTTTGAGTGTTTTGGGCATTTTGAGCATTTTCAACTAAAAACACCCAAAATGAAAAAAAAAAAAACGTTTTCCATTTTCAGTTATAAGTTCTTCCTTGTTTTCGGAAATGCATTTCAAAAATGGTGTACCAAACGCGTCTTGGGAGTTTCCGAAAACTAAAAACAGAAAACAGCTAGAAAATGACAAAGGGAACGCCCCCTTACTTACCACTTATTGGTCACCAATTTATCGGTGGCATCTTCAAGGATTTTGTTGTAAACTTTTGACGTGGGATGAGAATTCATTTGATTTGGCTGTAGTACAATATATCTTTGGTTTTGCTATAATGTATTGTATCTTGTGTTTAACTACAAAGTATTGTATCTTGGATTTGGATGTAGTTCATTGTACTAAAATGATTTAAATGATAGAAAAACGTGTCTTGTATAAACTTAAATGGACTATCATACTGATGTGTCCAATTATAGTTGCAAAATGATCTAGATATTTTTAAATGAACAAAACCAAATAAGAATTAAAAACAAAAAAATTTATAAATAGTCAACTTCAATTTAATGAGAATAAAAATAGATTTGTCATATGGGCGAATCTATTTTGAGACTCTGTGTTAATACAGGCTTCGATTTGTCAATTATTTTCCCTTTATTGATCTGAATGTTATTGCAATTTATTACCAGTTTATTCTTTTCAATATATAAATAAAATTATTGTATTTTGTAATGTTATTTTGTTCAACAATTAGTTTGTCTTTTGGCTAGAGTTATGATAAAGCCATTAGACCTGAAGTTTCATGATACTCTTGTAGTAACTTGTAAAGATTTCAGATATATACCTTATTTCAAGATAATTAATATATGGAATATTATTAAACCAAAAAATAACTTAAACTTAACTCATACTTAGGCACGAGACAAATTAGATAAAACAAGGCAAAATAATATGGTAAGAGTAAGTATTTACATACGAATGTTTTAAGAACAACCACATAAGATATTCATATTCAAGTTTAATTGGATACATTTATGCACATTTCATGGTCTTTCAGAGAAATTTTAATTGGGTTAAATAACCAATTTGCATGTAACTTGTCAGTTTAATGTATCCGATTGACTTAATTTTCAATCTAAAAATACTGTACTTTTTCATAAAATCAGTTTTTGGAACATGTAAATTGTCTAGAAAATGTGAGAAAAACGGATCATGTGACCAACTTTTGAAAAATATTTTTTATGGAAAAAATGTCAATCAAACAACTAAAATAAGAATTTAAATAAAAAAGAATATTCTTCATAAAAAATAAAATCAATTAAACACACTAATTTAATTCAAATTTTTTCACTCTATCACATTTCATCACTTCCTCTTGGGATGTGCAAAAGTTCTAAATTAATCTAGTGATACATAATGAAATGTACCTAAGGGTGTACACCCCTCACATGGGGTGTGAGATCGACCCGAATAAGTTTTTTTATTTGGGTAGATTACAAACCTCATGTGAGGAGGGTGTACATGCTTCGGTACATTCATATGTACCACTAGCAACACCAAAATTTTGTTGACAAAATGGTGTACTCAATTTCAGAATTTTTTTTTGAAATTTCCAATTATTTAATTAATAGAGACGTTGGAATTAATTTGTTTCTCAATTGTTGAGGCTTACAAAGGACAATCAAGGATATGATGACAAAAAAGAGTTTGAATAATACTACTTTAAATATCAATAATTACCTTTAAAATATTAATTAACAGTTAATTAACTGTTTGTAGAATGGAAAGTTTCTTAATTAAGGCCCACTAACAAGTTTATCTAGTGTAACAGCAACCGTCCAAACACACCCGCGAATTATCACGCGCCTCGCTTGTTAAGGTATTGTTTGCCAAACTTAAATTTTCGCGACAAAAAAAGTAAACTAAAATATTATTCCTTTTTCTTTTTATGCAGAATAGATTACATTGATGTAAGGAGCAAAGTCGAATTGAATCAAACCAAATATATTCCCTAGAGCATTGAGTAAAAAATGAGTTAATTTTGGCATATGTTTAAGTATATCATGTTAAGTTTACCTGAATATATTTAATACTAAAAATTGAATAAGTGGGTGCAATACGAATTCAAGAATAAGATGAAAACTGCCTGTAAATATCATATATTTATCATAAGAAGAGTATATAATACTATTTGGTGCAACAGATGAAATATAAAATTTTCTCTTTAATAATGTTTAATGATATCAGTATGTGCAAAATATGCCACATTTTTCCATTCTTCAATTTATCATCTGCTTGGTTAAGTTAAAATAGTATATTAGGCCCCTGTTTGTTTTTCATTTTTAAGCAAAAATACATTTTGAAATAGTTATTGGTGACAAAAGTATGATTAAGAATTAAGAAATAGTTTTAGTTTTACATGTAATATTATTTTATTGAAGAATGTGTAGTTAAAAAGAATATAGAAAAAAATATATTTTTAGAAAAATGGGTATCCAACAAGGGTTAAAATTTAAGTTATAGTCAACATTTACCCTTGTTTGGTTGCCATTCTTAAAAAAAAAGAAAAGAAATGTTTTTGATAGAGTTTTAAGAGAATGTGTTGTTCAAAAAAAGTTTTAAAAAATGAGAATCAAACATGGGCTTAGAAGGTGTTTGGTAGATATTAAAATTAGATTTTTAGTAGATTGTGATAGAAATTTTTGAAATATGTATTTAAAAAGTTGTGGGATTATGCAAAAATGATTAATATTGATTTTTTTGACTTTAACTTAGATTAAAATTAGATTTTAATCCATATCAAACAGGCTCTTAACTACAAATTTCATGAATTTTATGATTTTCTAATCACACATTTCATTTGCTTTTATAAAAATCTATAAAAAATTTAATTTTTACATGAACCAAACATGGACTTGGTGAAGCAAGCAAGTGGAATTCAATACAAGCCGAGAAGCGCGTGAAAATTTCCTGATCTGGTACAGCACATGCTCTGCTTCCACTACTTGCTGATTTGCGATTCACACGTACACAGTATCAAAATGTTTGGCTAAATTCTAAAAAATTACTAATAAGTAATTATGCAAAATAAAAATAATACTTTAAACTTTCAATAAATAAATTACTTATACTGATAATAAAGTTCCAGTTATTTAATAAAGGAATTATGTTATTTAAAGTTAAGAACAAGTAAAATCATTAAAACAAAAAAGTACTTAAAAGTAATTTAATACTTTTTTAGGTTTAGCAAACATGCTCATAATAAAGAAAGAGAAAAAATGGATACTAAACCCTCTTCTTGACTTCTAAATTTAGCTTCGTCTCTTCCAAGTTCATACTCTCCTCCCCATTCTACGGATCCCAATACACGGCAATGATCGGCCATTGACACGGAAAAATACACAGATCCAATCTATAAATACACTTACTCTTGTGTATTTATATACATATTCAGTTATACATGTCTCCTTCACCAAACTATGAATTTCAAGAATGGTGGAACAAGCAAAGAACGAGCGACCACAATGACCTGTTATCTTCATCAGAAACTTCCAGTTTTTTGAAGGTTGATATACACAGTCCCTCCACGGAGGCGTCGGTGGGGGAGAAGGACCGGTCACGCAGTGCCCGCCAGCTTTCATGGATTTACCTCCTAAAGGTCCATCAAATCGCGCATTTCTTGGCGTTTATAACCAATGGGTTTATTACCCTTATTCGCACCGCGAAGCGCCGTGTCTTATCCAGATCCTCCGGTTCTCACCGGTCTGAATCGAGGTTTTATCAAATCATTAAGTTTTTCTTGTTGATTAGTGTTGTTCTGTTGATTTTCGAGCTCATTGCGTACTTTAAAGGCTGGCATTTTAGTCCTCCGACTCTGGAATCGGAAGTTGAGGACTTAGTAGAGTATATCTATGCCAAATGGTTAATAATAAGGGCGAATTACTTGGCGCCGCCATTGCAGAACTTGACAAATGCGTGCATCGTGCTTTTTATGATACAATCGGTGGATCGATTGGTTTTGGTGCTGGGTTGTTTTTATATCAAGTTCAGAGGATTGAAACCCGAGGCCGAGATGGATTACACAGAAGATGTCGAAAATGGGGGTATGAATGTCGAGGATTATCCGATGGTGATGCTGCAAATACCCATGTGCAATGAGAGGGAGGTAAGAAAATGTAGGTTTTCAAATCTCTACAGAGAATTATCTTTTACTAAATTTCAGTTTATCTTATTTACAAGAACGAGTATTGATTGAAGTGCATTTACTAAGTATGATGTTGTAATTATTTTAGATTGATACTTATAGTAAATTTTAGTCTAACGTATTTACTAAAATTTGCTATCTTGGCTTCGAGATTTATTCTTCATCCTGCTGATGATGTAGCATATATTTTAGCAGGTCGATTGATTTTAAATACACTCAAAATGAACAAAAGTCATTTTTCTATAACTTCAGTTTCTTTCAGTTCTCAGCTTAGAAAGAAAAATGAAAAAAGACGTATAATGCAGGAAGAATAGGATATTCTTGCTCCTTATAAGCTCGTGGAATTGTTATAAGAGGCCTTCAGCTTCATGTCTTTTAAATTACCCTTTGCTAACATTTTCTTGATGTTAAAGGCATTTTGTAGTCTTAACTGTTCCGTTTGAAACACATTCATTATTTCTTTACTTCTTTGATGACTAACATTAACATTTCTGATCAATTCAAATAATCCAATATGATACCTCAAGAATGTTTTAATCTTTGATCCCACCAAAGATGATAAAGGAACAGACATGGTGAGATTGTTGATTACTATTTTGTACGCTAGTAACATATTTAGCCTTCTTGTACGAACGTACTGTTTATGATGAAATTCAATTAAAAGACATTTCTTGCACACAGTACACATAAATGTTTAAGGAAAGTGTAAATGTCTTTTTCCCATGCAAATCTATCATTAATTGAAAGGATCATAATTAGCATTGCCAGAAATTATTAAATTCAGAATGCTTCTCTTCTAATTAAAATTGCTAAAGTCAAAATCAAAGTATTCATGGATTAACAATGATAAAGAAATTCGCGGGTTGTACGCTTGTCTTTGCAAGTTAAGTTATGCTATGGTATATCCTTCAAATATCAATGACTAGCAAAATTATTGATTCATTAAGTCCTGTCAAATAATTTTTTGTTACTGTATTGATTTTTTTCGTTAATATCGTTATCTTCATTCCCTAAAAAAAAACTCCCCACAAAAGGAGAAATTTTTAGAAACACAGTTTCATCTAGAATGATCATGACGTGGTCTTATTTGTTATGCTTCATTGATATGTGTGATATATATACTAAAAAAAAAATGAAGAAGAACCAAATTTAAGTCAGACAGCAAAAAATGAGACAGGAAAAAGTGAGAAATGTCAGAATCATTAACAAAATCTGTTTATTTCTTGCTATTATGATAATGGAAGCCTATGAAACTCATGATCTCATACTAGGTTGAGCCAATCTGTCTCTCATAGAAACACACTTCATTTTGAAAGACTCTTTTTATTTCATTTTTGTTCCATCAGAGAATGAGCAGACTTAGAAAATGTGATAAAGTACTCTCTATACATTCATACTTAAAAAATGATAATGCCAGATAAATTATCATTGAAGATTAATGCTGGTATTCTTATAGAAGCATAATTTAATGATGCAAGTTGAAACATGCAATGGAAATGAAACTCTCTTAACACATAAATATGTTAACAGATGGTAATATCTCTTTACATAATTTAATGATGTAAGTTTAAACTCTGTTTTAGAACTCTGTGCCTGGCTTGAAGGAGTGTCTCATTGTCACTTTAAATGGAAGTAAATTCCTCTCAGGATAATTTCGTCTGTCTGTAGAAATGAGAAGAAAAAAAATGAAATCGAAGAATCATGGAATTCAGATTGCATCTTTTTTTTTTTTTTTCAATACTGAAATAGGTGCCTTTATGGTGGTTTTGAGTTCTTTGTGTGACGGTGTTCAGGTATATCAACAATCTATTGCGGCAGTATGTATTCAAGATTGGCCTAGGGAGAGAATGCTGGTTCAAATACTGGATGATTCTGATGATGCAGATGTTCAAGCCCTTATCAAGGCAGAAGTCCATAAATGGCAACAGAAGGGTGTGCACATCATATATAGACACCGTCTTATTCGCACAGGCTATAAGGCGGGGAATCTTAAGTCTGCAATGAATTGTGATTATGTCAAAGATTATGAGTTTGTTGCAATATTTGATGCAGATTTCCAGCCTGCACCAGATTTTCTGAAGAAAACTATTCCTTATTTTAAGGTAATCTAGATATCATATGTAAGTGATCAGAATGTAATTTTTTTTGTTGATACAGGGATGGTAGAAATTCTTTTATTTTTATTTTTTACTCGTGTAATTGACTTAGGGGGTAGTCAACTCTTGTTTCTACACATTTTCTTTCTTAGTTTAGCATGAGGGTAACTTTCATACCAGCCATTAGAGTAAATTATTAAGCTGTAGTGCCAAACTACAATTGCTAAGGCTGAGATGTCTAATACATGATATTGCTCTTGGGTCTAATCTTATTCTACTTTTATTAATGCTTTGTTCCTGCTGGCATGTAAGGTTCCATAGTTTCCTCTAGTTAAAAAAAGCTGCATTTATTTAACCAAAAAAGAATGATAGTTTGGGGAAAGATGGCCAAAATCAACAACCGTGGGAAAATGTCCTGTAATGCAGGTACTCAGCGGCCATTCGCCTTGTGTAGGTTGACTCATGAATAATGACAAACTAGGCTTCAAATGACCATATTTCCCGTGTTGTTACAGATGTAGCCTAACGTCAGGAAGCATCTGGACATGGTTGGAAAACTCTGTATGCATAAATATATGATTCATCAGAGATTTATAAATATTCAATCCTAAGCTGTAAAAATTATGGAAATTGATTACTAATTGTTTCTTGTACTTTAAAGGGGAACGATGATCTTGCCCTGGTGCAAACCAGATGGAGTTTTGTCAATAAGGATGAGAATTTGCTGACAAGGTTGCAGAACATAAATCTGGCTTTCCATTTTGAGGTTGAGCAACAAGTCAATGGGTGGTTCATTAACTTCTTTGGTTTTAATGGAACTGCTGGTGTGTGGAGAATCAAAGCCCTGAAGGACTGCGGTGGCTGGTTGGAGCGAACAACGGTTGAAGACATGGATATTGCTGTTCGTGCTCACCTCTGTGGTTGGAAGTTTATTTATCTGAATGATGTCAAGGTTAGTCAGCTTCTGAAATTTGTGTAAATGTTCGCAAGAAATAATACTTGTGCCTTATGGTTCATTTCTTTCTCATCTTATGTAGTGTTTATGTGAACTTCCTGAGTCTTATGAAGCATACAAAAAGCAGCAACATCGCTGGCACTCAGGACCCATGCAGTTGTTCCGCTTGTGCTTTATTGATATACTGCATTCGAAGGTTGGTGAGATTCAATTGTTTAAATTTTCTGCCAGTTTTCTAGCCTAAATTCAATTTTTAGCGTGCATGGCTGAAATGAAAATTAGGGTAATCAGGAAGTTGTTCAGCGTGTTGTAAAATACTAAATTGAAAGTTGTGATCAAGATGGAAAAAGATGGAGAAGAGCGAGTTCTTTAACTCTATTTTCATTAGATAATAGCATATTTGGCAAAACTTTTATTAGATTATTAGTTTCGGGTCATATAAAATGTGTGGATAGTACTTGGGTAACAGTTGTGGGTCCAACTGGATGTATGGATAAAAAGAGAGTTTGGAAAGCTTATAAGCAATTATAAGCTTCATGAAACATGCAGTAAGAAAGAAGGAAAATGTTCTGCCAATCATGAAAGAAAATGAAATGAATCCATTCGATTTCAAGAAGTTGGAGAATTCAGTTTACGACATGGCTCTTGCACTTGAGAGTTGAGAGCAAGCCTCTTTGCATTGCATGCGATTAGCATTTTGTGTTCTAGTTTATGTTTTCGTTAGTACAGAAAATATAGAATCCTTTTAAAGGAAGAGATGCCTCTTTTTCCCAGCTTTCTTTGAGGCATTTCACACGCAGTCTGGCCCCTTCTGTCCCTCCCCCTTTCCTGTTTCTTTCATAGTGGAGGGCGTGAGTCCCCCATCTCCGTCATAAATTACCTGCTGACTTTGATATCATATTCACCCACACATAGTAGGTGTGTGTTAGAAGTGCTCGTAAGTACAAACTTTGTTTAAGAAAAACTTTCTTTATCCGTGAAGAATTTCTGTCATCCATTGCTTATTTATATCCTCACACTCCATTTTTAAACGCTACAATCAATTCAGAACACATTCACCTGAAGTTCCTGGAGCACGGAATGAAGCATATATTTATTATGTACGAGTTCTTCCTATCATCGAATTAGTTCAAAAATTTTGCACTCTCCCAAGTTTTTTCGTTGACCATAGCCTATCATATAATTTTAATTCATACTTTTGAACATTTCAGGTGAGCTGGGTGAAGAAAGCAAATCTGATATTTCTCTTCTTCCTCCTGCGGAAGCTTATACTACCATTTTACTCGTTTACTCTCTTCTGCATTATTCTTCCTTTGACCATGTTCCTGCCAGAAGCTCAGCTGCCTTTCTGGGTTGTTTGTTATATCCCAGGACTTGTCTCTATTCTGAACATCCTTCCATCTCCTAGGTCATTTCCATTTATCGTGCCCTATCTTCTTTTTGAGAACACCATGTCTGTGACTAAGTTCAATGCCATGGTATCAGGGCTCTTCAAGTTAGGAAGTTCTTATGAGTGGATCGTCACCAAGAAATTGGGTAGATCATCAGAGGCAGATTTAGTTGCCATGGTGGAAAATGAAACGGCACCTTTGGTGGAGAGTGGCGGGGTCCACAGGTCGTCCTCAGAATCAGGTCTTGCCGAGCTTAACAAACTAGAAATGACCAAGAAAACCGGGAAAAAAAGAAGAAACCGTCTGTACAGGAAAGAACTAGCTCTTGCATTCATTTTGTTGACTGCATCGGTAAGAAGCTTGTTATCTGCCCAGGGAATCCACTTCTATTTCCTCTTGTTTCAAGGTATCACATTCCTAGTCGTTGGACTTGATTTGATCGGAGAACAGGTGAGTTAATGCAATCGATTTTTATTGTGTTGCGAGCTCTCCTCAATGGATTAATCCAGGAACACGAAAAGAAATCGAGCATTTATCTTATCATTCACGTGACTTCGTGATCCCAGGAAAGGTCCACATTCATACATTCAACGAAAGATTTATTTCATATATACCCTCAATTGATGCTTGAGTTGTAAGCATCTCATGAGAAGAGTATATATTTTCATCTGCATCTACATCTACATCTACATCTATTAACAATTTGATTTTATTGTACATGTTGCCTGTGTAGGTTTTGCAGGTTTTTTGTTTTGATTAAATTTTCAATCTTTATCTTTGTAATTGAGAAATGACAATGTGATGTACAATTACATATATTTTTATGGGGAAAGTAAACATTCACTCGGGAGTTAAGTTATCAGTCGAGTATGAATGATATTGTGAAGTTAATTGCTGCATCAAATCAAGGGAGTTTAGTGCATGTTTGGATAAGCAAAAAAAGGTACTTATGAGTAAATGATTAAATCGTTGGTTAAAATTGAAAATAAATGCGTTACTTTTGAAAGGAAACTCTATCTTATGTTAATTCTAGTAAGTATTTGATACTAAGCATACTTTCTTACAAGGGTTTTGTTACACTGACATAGGGGATAACCGAATACACACATGAGGAGGTTGGCATTTTTTTTTACGCGGGACTCACGCGTAAAATGTGAGGGTTGGTTAGCCGTTATTTCAACCAATTCGGTCACTTTAGCTTAATTCTTTTTGCAATAGCCAAAGTTCAAATATTGATACATATATAATTTACAAAATAATAAAAAAGGTCACCATTTATGGTTCTTAAATAAGCAAGGCCTACTTGAAGATATGACAATCAAACAAACATATAGGCAAATTTAAGAATATTGAATAAGGCACTAAGTTTAAGATGTAATAAATGGATGTCCGTTCGTATTTTTTATTGTCTCCCTACTCAAATTATGAGACCTCGTTACATTAGTTTACAAAAATAACATAATTTTATTTTTACCATAACGTGAACATCTAGAAATGATCTTGAATTAAAGAAAATTTTGTTTTTCTGGATAATTTTTCCGCGTTTCGATGGATAATACCAATAAATCTGTTGTATCACTTTGTATGAAAGCGTGAGTTTTCATCAGATGAATATGGAGCAAGAGAGAAAAGTACAAAACCTTCTTTCTCCTCCAAAATAGCATTTCCCCTGTTGAATTATTCATTTTTTTTTGCTGTTGTAGTCCTGCTTCTTGGTTGTTCTAGTACAGTTTAATGTCTGTGTTTCACAAAGATCAATATCTTGAAATTCTATAGCAGCAGTTTTGATGAAATGGTTGCAACTCACGATTTTCAAGATTTGGGAGAGGATAGAACGTCAATGTTCGATGAGGAGGCCTAGATCGCGATCCCCAATAGGTGGTTGGTTGAGGAAATTTACAACATTCCCTAGTTTACAACGAAAAGGTTGTAGCTTCTGGATCGAATGACTTATTTAATTTCTTTTAACTTTTCTGTAATGCTATAATGTTAGAAACACTCACAATGAGGTTTTCGAGTCATTGTTCCACCCACATGTTGCGTTGAAGATATCTCAATTGAGGAGTGTTACAACAAGAAATTTAGTGCAAATGTGTGGTTGGGTTCAGGTCTTGAGTAGTTGTGAACTCAACTTAATCTCCTAGTAAAATTATTGATTATTGTGACTTGCACGTTTCTTCGTGGGTTAATGCACCTTCATAAGTGTTTCAAATAAATCGAGTGTAGGATGCAAAATTAATTATTTGACAGTATTAAGTGATAAATTTCACATTGAATAAAGATGAAAATATAGATCAACATATAAGGACTTTGATTACTTTTCAACTCCAACAAACAATTTAATTCAACTAAAACTCAAAAAATGAACATGCATATTTCAAGATTAGTTTGCTCAAACAACCCACCATCTTGCAAGAATATGTTATGGGATAAATCTCACATCGAATAAATATGAATATTTGGACTATTACTCTTAATAAGACTGACGTTTTAAGATGGAACCCCAAATCTTATTACAGCATAAAAAAATATAGCAATAAAGTATTTCACGCTCTTCCTTTCAAGAAAGCAAGATATTTCTCTAGTTAGACCACAAAATACAAATAGGGACCCATTAATGAATCAAGCAAGCAATGCTTGCTCCGTTAGCTACCAAGATGACCACCAGGAATATTTGTACTGGTTCACTAGTTCTATCGACTAGACCCTTGAATGATCGAGTAGATACAAAGGTGCACTTGAAGTTGGGTGTGCAACCTCCATTGAGCTGGACCCTCCTAGCCTGCCAGCTCACTATGTTCAATCTCAAGCTTGTAGACAGCCAAATATACCTTCTTTCATGATCGAAATACTCGATGCCTTTCGAAAACTCCTAGATCTAAACGTCATCACTAACTCCTCCAGTATTAATATATTCCTAACATTTTCTACCTAACCAATTGCAGGACTATTTATCATTCACCTTTCGTTAATTTATACATTTTGCACAGTTTTCACTCTAGAAAATAATACAGTTGATAATATAGATCAAGACGAAAACAAGACATCTGTAACAAAATATAAAAGTTACGAGAGATAAAAAAGGCCATGAGGGAAGCATAAAATAAAGTGAATTGCAGAAGAATAATACTACTTGTACATAACGAAGTTATATAATGGTGTTTCGTGCGGGTAGTCGCTAACAATTAAAAAGGGACCAGACGATTGTGTAAGGAACAAACCTCTTGAGACAAAGTCCCAAAAAGGGGTGTTTTATTGGCGATGACTTTACAATTGACACTTAAACAGAATGCCTCCAAGGGGCGCAAGCACACGAGTACTTAAAAGAAATATTTTAAGTCTAAACTAAGAAATTGAAATTACATATTCTCTGTTTGAGAGTGTTTGATTCGGGGTCCTCTGCTCTATGTCTTTTCTTCCTTTTATATTTCTTTGATGATCTCTTCGTGATCAACCGTTTAGAAACTGTTTAATTGCTTTATAACTATCCACTTTCTTCATGGTGGCCAACTTATCGTGGAACTGTCGTCTCTAACTGCTGCCACTACTCTTTGTCGCTCAACTGTCTTCAACTGAACTCCTTGAATCGTGGAATGTGATAACATTACTCAATAACTACTTCGATAACTGCACTTTTGGACAACCATAACATCTTATGTTTGCTAAGATCCTGGACGATTCGAAAGTTTGGGCGAGAATATGGTCATAACTCTGGGCGACTGCAAGGCACTTCATTCGCTCAGATCTTGGGCGTCTTGCAAGTTTGGGCGATGGTGTTACCGCGTTCGTGGGCTTCCACTGCATTCATTAATAACCCTATTTGGGCCTTTATCCTGAATTGTCCAGTTGGACTTCATTCTTTGGACTATTCGATTTGGGCTGCACTTTTAGCGTGTCAACAATTATCCCCTAATATGGCAGAATTAATACCAATTATTAATTTTTGCCATATTCACTTTGTGTTTCCCAACAACATTTGAAATTTCCAAGAATTTAAATCATTATTTTCTTCCATAGCCTGAAAAGGCGTGACGTTGCAAACCCTTATAACTCCCAAATACACGTCATTTCATCGCACTACTAAACCACGCCTCATTGTTTCGCGCTTCTCTCTCGCAATATTACTGTTCATCTTCTTGCTTCTCTACTACGTTTCTCAAGCAAACTTCAACAAAACTTTATTTCGCTCCTAATGGCTGCTTCACAATCCCAATCTGGTGACTCTTTCAGTTTCGAAGACTTCCAGAAAATCCTCACTCAGCCATATATAACTCCGAACTTCCTTGCACCAGCCAATGCCGAACTCAATGAGTTCTATCTAGGTCCTTCATTTAACAACGTCAAGGTCATCGAACAAGTGGCGGTGGGCCAGGGTTCCCTTGTACTCAAGGCCCTCTGTTTCTAAACTCTTTGTCGCTGAGGCCGCTTCGCGAAAGAGGTATTCGCATTTGGCCTAAATCTGATGTTGTTTTCCATACATGGCATGCTGTCCTAGGCAATTTTTGATAGTGCTAGGATTTCTGATTTGTTAGAAATCTCTCTTCAACCCCCTATTTTTGATCCAGCGCTTTTCTCTATTGCTTTAAGTTTTTGGTCCTCTGAGTATAATACTTTTGTTTTCCCTCTTGGTCCCATGTCCATTACTTTAAGGGATGTTGGGGCCTTAGTAAATCTGCTACCTTTGGGTGATACCATTTTCCCTGGTATTTTGATTTCTGGTATCGCTCCAAAATTTGACAGAAAACTCATTGAGTCCTATTCAAGCCTGCAAAGCTGTTATAATCACTCGAGCGCTGAGTCTTCCCATGCTGAGTGTGTGGCTTTTTTTCAGATTTGGCTTTGTAAATATGTTCTGTGTGTGCCAAGCATGAAGCCTTCTATGAGCTATTTACCCATAGCGTATGAATTGGCGCGTGGTAGGCCTCTGAATTTGTGTTCTTTCTTTTTGGTTGCCCTCTATAGAGGCATGGCTTCTCTCCAATTCCAATTGAAGAATGGTGCATCTCCCACTGGCAGTGAGCCTCTTTGGTTCACTCAAATGTGGTTGAGAGCCTATTTTCCATCACTTGGTGCTCTATCATTTTCCCATCATCCTGCTAGCTGCTATTGACCCACTGAGCCCTGTAAATATGTCCAGAAGGGACATCTTTTCATTCCTTTATACTTTGAATTCAATTCCTTCTTTCTTTCCTTTTCCTCCCTTTTTAACTCCAGATTATGTGCAACCCCAATCCACTCTGGACAGTGCGAGCACCTCTCTGCTCGTTTGGGTTCAATTTTTGACCGAGAGGGAGTTGTTCCATGATATTTTGACTGGAACCAATGCTAAAGCTGGGGTTGAAATATTTGCTCCCCAATTTTTTGCTCATTAATTTGGTTTTGGCCAAACTTGGCCTGTTCCCCCTTATTATTCAAGAAATTTGATAGATCACTTCCACACTATTAATAAGGCAGAGGCAGAAGCTATAGATGCTCGCAATATTCTTTTGACGAGTAACTTTTCATTAGCTCCCTTCAATCCTAACCATGTCATCCATCCCCCTTTTGAACAACTCTGGCCATTAGTGCAACGCAGATTGTTTGCAACTGATGCCAATCGCGCTTTCCATTCACTGGATCAGCCAGACATTTCTTCCACTTCTCCTGTTTTGGTCACCCCTGTGTCTGTTAAGAGTCCTTCCTCTTCTGCTCGTGCTAAACAGTCTGTTCATCCATCTACTTCTCTTCCTACCAAGCCCATTGCAGCTAAGAGTGTCCCAAGCCGCAAACGACCAGCCTCAGCATCTCCCATTTTGGAGGATGATGATGATGACGACGACGACGACGATGACACTCCTCTCATTGTCAGGAGAAAGGTAA